CTTGCCAGGTTGGGGACATTATTTGTTGGTATGGGTTCCTTTAGTTCACTGGGAAATAAAGCCAAATTTCCCATTTCAATCTCAGCATCTCATATTTTCCCTAAGATTCTGTTATAATTCAACGGATTTTAATTGCCCCATAAGAAGTAGCAGGGGGTGGGGAGGAAAGAGGGTTTTGTCTGTTTTTAATCCTCTGCTGGTACCTTATGCAGCACTTTCGAGTTGTTTCCTGAGCAAGATAGTTTTAGTTTACTGGTAATGTTGATGTCTAATCTGAATAACAGTTGCTTACCCCCTACTCCTGCTAAGTCCTATTGAGAGGAGCCCAAATAATCATGAAGATCATAGAATAGTTAGGGTTGGAAAGGACCTCAAGATGATCCAGTTCCACCCGCCTGCCATGGGCAGGGACACCTCACATTAAACCATGTCACCCAAGGCTCTGTCCAACCTGGCCTTGAACACTGCCAGGGATGGAGCATTCACAACCTCCCTGGGCAACCCATTCCAGTGCCTCACCACCCTCACAGGAAAGAATTTCCTCCTTATATCCAATCTCAACTTCCCCTGTTTAAGTTTGAACCCGTTACCCCTTGTCCTGTCACTACAGTCCTAGAATATCAAAGTTGGGTAGAGCTACCACAGCAGGTTATTGCTGGATTTTCAACACATGAAGTTTATTTCAATGAATGCATGAGATAAGCTGCAGATAAAGGATGAAAAGGTAAAAAGGAATATTCTGAGGGAATTACTTCATAGAGTGGATGAAACTCTGTGAGGTACAATGTGTTTGAATGGATGAATTTGAACTGGCGTAGATGCTGCTTGATCTCTTACCCTTACAAAGAATTGCAGTGTAAGAACATACCAGAAGTAGCTAATCCTCGCACTATTTTTTCTTACACATGTGTAAAGTGAGGCTCTGAAAATTTACTCTTTGGTCCAAGTTATTAGAAAGCCACGATGAAATCTAGAGGGTTTTGTCTTCGTAGAATCCCAGACTGGTTTGGGTTGGAAGGGACCTTAAAGCTCATCCAGTTCCAACGCCCTGCCACAGGCAGGGACACCTTCCGCTAGAGCAGGTTCCTCCAGGCCCCATCCAGCCTGATCTTGCTGTACCCAGTGAGCAACATCTTGCTTCTTGAAGACACAATGTCAGGTGGTGAGAGTTCTCAGTCTTCCCTTGACGTTGTTGGTGCCAGAGATTTCTGGAGTAAGAGCAGGATCTATAAATCTTCCTGTTATCTCATTATAAGCAACCACATGTTTGGGACTAGGAGATAGCAGGGCTTGAAATGCTTATTGGAGTAAACTTGGAGCTGTTGTTGACTGTTCAAAGGGAGCCACATCCAGCTCTCCTGATTGGAAAAACATGAGAGGGAGAAAATGCCAATCCCATAGCTGCCTTCTGTCTCTAGCACCAGTGTCAAAGCGTTACAAGTTCAGTATGAAATTTGCATCTCACTGATGTAAAAAGGACATGGAACTGTTGGAACAAGTCCAGAGGAGGCCACGAGGATGATCAGGGGGCTGGAGCACCTCCCGTTAAGAAAACAGGCTGAGGAAGTTGGGGCTGTTCAGCCTGGAGAAGAGAAGGCTGCGTGGAGACCTCATAGCAGCCTTCCAGTATCTAAAGGGGGCCTATAGGGATGCTGGGGAGGGACTCTTCATTAGGGACTGTAGTGACAGGACAAGGGGTAACGGGTTAAAACTTAAACAGGGGAAGTTTAGGTTGGATATAAGGAAGAAATTCTTTCCTGTGAGGGTGGTGAGGCACTGGAATGGGTTGCCCAAGGAAGCTGTGAATGCTCCATCCCTGGCAGTGTTCAAGGCCAGGTTGGATGAAGCCTTGGGTGACATGGTTTAGTGTGAGGTGTCCCTGCCCATGGCAGGGGGGTTGGAACTGAATGATCTTAAGGTCCTTTCCAACCCGATCTATTCTATGTTTCTATGTAACAGAGAACAGCAGATGGACCCAGCAGAGCACATAGCCCTCGTGGGATTGGCACTGAGCAGCGGGACCGTACTTAGTGCTGTGTCCACGTGTATAAACTGTGCTTTTAAGCGTATTTTACACATAGAGTCATAGAATAGCCTGGGTTGGAAGGGACCTGCAAAGCTCATCCAGCCCTAACCCCCTGCAATGAGCAGGGACATCTCCAACTAGATCAGGTTGCCCAGAACCACATCCAGCCTAGCCTTGGAATGTCTCCAGGGATGGCGTGTCCACCACCTCTCTGGCAATCTGTGCCAGTGCCTCACCACCTTCATTGTAAAGAATTTCTTCCTCACATCCAGCCTGAATCTCCCCTCTTTCAGTTTAAAACCATCACCCCTCATCCTATCACAAGAGGCTGGGCTAAAAAGTCTCTCCCCATCTTTCTTACCGGCCCTTTTTAATTACTGAAAGGCCACAAGGAGGTCTCCTGACTTGGTTTGAAAGCTTCCTGCATAGGTTTTCTGTGTTGAAACAGAAGAAATTATGTGGGTTTATGCAGTTATTTCTCATTCATTCACTGGTATTTAATGAGTACTGTGGGTCAGGCTTTGTCTGGAACTTGCTGTTTGTGTACCTGTCTAACAGTGACTTGGAAACTCTTTTTTCACAGGTAAGTAGAGGCCTCGAAAGTGAAATTATGGCACTCAGGAGCCTAAGGACACTTGATGGGCAGCCTCTTTCACTTGTGACACACTAATAACAGACTGAAGCCCTTGGTCTTTGGGCTGGATTTAGTGCTGCTTGCTGCAGCTGTTAGTAAGCAACTGCGTGTTAAACTGTGAGGTATTTTCCTTTGAGAGGAATTTCAGTCATGCCTGCCGTAAGCGGAATTTGGAAGTGATTTTAAGTAGATCCACCTCCACACTTGACCCAGGCAATGGAATGGAAAAAGCTCGTGGCCCTCTTACAGAACTTGATTCTAGAGACAAATTAGCTTAAAGGGCCTGGTTGCCGCAGATGACTTACAGCAAGGACCTGGTGGCTGATGCCTGGGAGGCGAAGGCACTTGTGATGCCCAGGAATGTCACTTGTGGAACTCGTCTGAGCAGCTTTTGGATGGCTTCATTGTTTGTGCTGCGCAGAACAGGGTGGCTTGGCAATGAGCAGCTTCCATCAACTCCCCAAGCCCGTGGTTCAAGTTACCTTGTCTATAGACTGTATGAAAATAGGTGTCTGGGAGTTCATAATGCGACAGACATTGAGCGGTGGTGGGCAAACACTTCCCTCCTCACCGAGTGCAACAGATTCAGTTGCAGGTTTGGCTTGGGCTGTACTTTCTATATGTTCACAGGAAAGACCCTTCGTGCTCTGTCAGTACCCAGAATGAGACCAGCCCATATGGAATCATGGAATAGTTGGGGTTGGAAAGGACCTTAAGATCATACATCCTCCTTATGTGTATAAGAAAGAAGCTTCAATGTCCTGTTGTCAAGATCTACTTTCTAAACCCTCATTGTAAGGCAGAGTAGAGGGGGGTAGCCCAGTTTGTGCTGTAAGTGTATACAACTCTTAGTGATGAGTCCTTTCGTGCTCCTAGGTTAGAGGACTTCAGGAGTTGTAAACATCTTAGCTCAAAGCTTCCCATAACAGGCTGAGCCCTCAGGTGTGGTTAAACCAGTGGATGGTTGATTGTGTAGTATTGTAATTAGGTAAAATACTACAACTTTAAAAAGTAGTTGAACGTTCTGGGCTGTCATCTGAGAACCTCACTTGATGCAATGGCTTAGCCCTGCTCTCTGTAGTGTTGGGGAGAATGGCTCTTGGCCTGCTAGGGACACCCCAGACAAACTGACTGCGCCGAGTGCAGAGTGATGCTGTGGGAGCTCTGGAAATGAAGAGCAGAAACCCTGGCTTGCAGAGGATCGCAGCGTGTAATTAATTAAAAGTGAAATTAAAAGATCAGAAAACAAGCTTGACACATCATTTCTCCATATGAACAGAATGCTTTAGATAAGTATGTGACATGTGAGTATATTCAGATGGTGGCCTGCAGTTGTTACCAGAATAACATCATCTGGGGAGACCTTAGAGCAGCTCCAGTGCCTAAAGGGGCTGCAGGAAACCTGCAGAGGGGCTTTGGACAAGGGCCTGTAGGGACAGGCCAAGGGGAATGGCTTTAACCTGCCAGAGGGGAGACTGAGATGAGCTCTTAGGCAGAAGCTCTTCCCTGTGAGGGTGCTGAGGCGCTGGCACAGGGTGCCCAGAGAAGCTGTGGCTGCCCCATCCCTGGCAGTGTTCAAGGCCAGGTTGGACACAGGGGCTTGGAGCAAGCTGCTCTAGTGGAAGGTGTCCCTGCCCGTGGCAGGGGTTGGAGCTGGGTGAGCTTTAAGGTCCCTTCCAACACAAACCAGGCTGGGATTCTATGAGTCAGTTTGAAGGAGGCAACAAAAACGTTGTTTTCAGGGGGTTCCATGGTTTGGTGTCTGTTAAACAAACAAAACCCACTTCATCAGCCAGGCTCCTTTCCTAATTGATTCAAGGGTGTGTTTCCAAGTTGTCTTCCTTTAGCCATATAGTGCTTGCACTGACTGCATCCTGCTTTCCCTGGGGATGGGACAAGCCTGGGTGTCTGCCTGGGTCACCCAGGACACCTTTGTGCTCCCACTGAGGAGTCCCACACAGCTCCATGGTAGGGGAAAGCCCGATTCTGCTCCCTATGTGTTGTTATGTTGTTCTGAGCTATAAGTCTTGCAATTTCTCTTGTTCAAGCAGCAGCTTGTTTGCTCTTTTGCTTTTTAAAATCGGGATCAAAATGGGGTTAATTTGCTGTTGGGTTGTACTATCTTGTCACTGCTGCAGCTGTAACGCTGTGGCTTTGGTCCAGTGGGAAGAGTAGAGCTGTTCATAAAAGCAGCTTACATAAAGAACCCCAACTTTCACTGCATTTCCTAACACAAAAGTAATCATATTTGTGCTAGAGGCCTTCAGACATGCAAGTGACAGTAGTTCTGCAATAACTCTGAGCTCTAAGGCTGTTTTTCCATGCCTTTTCTCTCCACAGCCGTCCTGGGCCAGGTGATGCTATACAGTTGGCCTCTCCCCTTGATCCTTCTGAGCAACCCCTACCTGTTACTGCAGCGTTTGGAGATGTTGAGCCCCTGGATGCTACTGAGCTGACTGCAGCAAGGTACGGTTATAGAGCCATGGGGAGCAGCTGCCCACCGCTCCCTGGTGTGGGTGGGTTGAGGACCACGGAGGTCAGCATGAGCGGGGATATTGCTGTCCCTCTTCTTGGCTGGATGTATGCCTGGTATGGCCAGCTGCTGATGGGCTGGCTCACTCTGTCTGTAGGCAGTGGAGCATCTGTCAGTGGAAATCTTGACTATCATTTAAATCTCCCTCTGTCAGACCCTTCAAAGGAAAATGCTGTTTGCCTCCCTCCAAGATTGAATCACTGCCATGTAGTCATGCCATGTGAAGGTGCAATATAGACCTTGTATTTTTTAGGTGCTTATAGTCTGGGTTTTTTAGTTATTATTTGAAGGTAATTGATCCTTTGGGCATTTTCTTTAAGTCTGAGAAGTTCTCCTGGTTATAAAGCTTTCAGGTATCTCACTGTTGGACATTGAGTTTATTGCCTGCTTTTACTGGTGCTGAGAAGGGACGCTGTTGCTTTATTCGTGCTGGTGGCAGTTGGGTCATCAGGTTCTTTGAACGCATGGATTTGTCTTGACTGCCAACAGCAGAGGAAGCCTTGTAGGGTGTGTTTGGCTTTCTGTCATTGTGAATTCAGTGGAGTGTAAACACATACACAATATATTTAAGCTAGCATTAAATCTGTTAGCTGAACTAGCAATAGTAGGCTATCAAAAAGAGCTGGTGTGGTTTGCTCAATCCACCTTAAAAGCTGGGTGACTTTGCTGGTTGGCCAGTACTGGTCTTCCACCAGTCCCCAAGCTGGTAATTCCCTAATGCTGGTGGAGTGACTGTGTGAGAAACACACTTTTTCCTACAGTCAGGGTAAGATGATCTAGAGATGCTTCCAGTGGGAAGCCAGCGATGTGGATTTCTTCCAGTTCTTGTAAGTTCTTGCTCAGAGTTGTATTTCATTGGTTTTACCAAATGTAACTGGGTTATGATGGGGGTTTGTGGATTCTGTGCTTTCTTACTAATGGATTGTTGCCCATAATAGCGAGGCTGTTAGAAAGGAGTGAGCAGGAACTGAGGTGGAGCTCTGAGCTGCTTCATGAATGCAAGGGAATGAAAAGAGACCAACCCCAGAACTGCCACGGAGATTTGCATATGGTCTCTGGACTACAGGCTGAAATAGGAGATTTGGTTGCCCTTGGGGTAAGAGTTTGCTGTTTGCAGGGAAAAAGGCACTCAAGCTGTCTAGGATTAAATGCCACTTTAGGAAACACTTAGGAAGAGCAGTCTTAGAGTGTTTTAATTTACTGCTTCTTGTAAACCTCATGAATTCACACTGTTAGCGTTCTGGAGCTGGAATTTCAAGTTAATTATATCTTTTCTTTTGACCTACTTCATAACTTCTGTCTTTTAAAATGCTTTTTCAGTGTCCAAAAGTTAATCTGGCCGTTCCTTGCTCCATCCCGGTTGCATAGGCTGGGAATGCTGGTGCTGAGCTGCAGTTACCCACACAGGGTGGCTGAGCCCAGTAGGGATGAGGGCACATGGACTGTGCTGCAACCACAGGATCTGGCTCTCATTTCTGTATCCTGACCTTAAGGAAGATGCAGGGATTTTCCCAAGGGTTCAGTGCTAAAAGGTTGCAAACTAGGGATATTCAGCATGGAAGGAGGTAGCTTTTCAGCTCCTGAAAGAAAGTGAGAGAGAAATACATTGGAGTGAATCTGGCTGGAAGCAGTTGTGTTTGTTGGGTTTAGTTTTTGTGTTTGTTATACAAAGCTGCACAAGTTAACTCTGGTCAGGATTGTTTGTTTTTCCTTCCCCCTTTGTTTTGCACCCTTGCTCAGCTTTAGACATAGGAGCCGAGCTGTTCTCCATGCACTTGTCTTTCCTGTTCAGGCTGGTGTTGCTTGCTAGCTGCTTTTCTCTCTAGAGGTGTTCCCTGGTGCCCCAGCAGCAGAGAAGTGGTAGTTTCCATTTATGCCCACCTGCAGATGCAGTTGGCTGGCAGAAAAGGGGTTAACATCAATGCAGCTGGACCCTGATTTAGCTTCTGTCTGAAACAGGCATGGTGCAACTCTCCTCCAGTATTAACAAACACTGCTGACTGCCCTGTGGTTTTTATCATAGAATCATGGAATGGGTTGGAAAGGACCTTAAAGCTCATCCAGCTCCAACCCCTGCCACGGGCAGGGACCCCTTCCACTAGAGCAGCTTGCTCCAAGCCCCTGTGTCCAACCCGGCCTTGAACACTGCCAGGGATGGGGCAGCCACAGCTTCTCTGGGCACCCTGTGCCAGCGCCTCAGCACCCTCCCAGGGAAGAGCTTCTGCCTAAGAGCTCAGCTCAGTCTCCCCTCTGTCAGGTTAAAGCCATTCCCCTTGGCCTGTCCCTGCATCCCTTGTCCCAAGCCCCTCTCCAGGTTTCCTGCAGCCCCTTTAGACACTGGAGCTGCTCTGAGGTCTCCCCTTCAGGAGCCTTCTCCTCTCCAGGCTGCCCCAGCCGAGCTCTCTCAGCCTGGCTCCAGAGCAGAGCTGCTCCAGCCCTCGCAGCATCTCCATGGCCTCCTCTGCACTCGCTCCAACAGCTCCACGTCCCTCTTGTGCTGCTGCCCCAGAGCAGGCGGCGTAGAGCTTCTGCTTTTTTGGTGTTTTATGTAGAAATGCTGCACCACAACTTTTCAGTGTGACTCCAGAAAAACATCTCATGCAATGTCTCTGTGTCAATGCTTGGTGATTGTACCTCTGCACTGTACTCTTTTACTAGGGCTACTCAATGGCACGATGCAGTCTGTCTAAAGTAAACTCCAGTTATCATTTTCCTCCTAATATATTTAGTTATTTACAGATAAGTACCTTTTGTTTCCGTGTATTTCCCTATCAGGAGTGTCACGTAGTGCAGATGGTGTGTGCTTTGACAGGGAAAAAATAATGGTGCGTATAAGGTAGGGGTCAGCTTGTGCTAAATGTCTTCCAGATGGCAGTGCATAATAAGAGATCAGGTTGTCCCTCCATCTGTCCAGTCAAGAAACTGTATCTTTGTTTTGCTCCTTGAGGATGACTGTCTGCCTTTCTTTTCCCCTGCTGATAACAGATTGATCAGTGACAGCACGGCATCATCTGCTCAGTGAGGAGATTTTCCTTAGTGTATCTATAGGGGAGTGCCCTGAAAAGGGTGAGGTAAGAAGTTCACTGCCTGCTCTGCCAAGCGTTCTTGTTTAGCAGTGAAACTGAAGGGCCAAGTTCGCTCTGATTTGCCTGTACATGTTGCGCCAGCAGATTTTGGCTAGACACATCTTTCTTTCCATGCTGCAGGTGCAGAGCCCTGCACGAGGACTTCTGTAGGAGAAGTGTTTGGATTGGAAAGGCAGAGCAGGCAGAGAAGTGGCTGTATGAGACCACAGCTTAGCTGGGCTCTATGGTAGAGGTGCTAAACGTGTCTGAGCAGTGTCTATCTGTTCCCCGTGACTTGCAGCCTGTCTTGTGGGCAGAAAAGCCCTCCAAATGCCCAGGAAAAGGTGGCAGCTTAGAAAGCACTTGCTGCTGCATGAGCTATTTTGAGGTAACTGGCAGGGAAACCCAATCTGATCATTTCCACAGCTAAGGAAAGCTTCTCCTCTTGCATTTAGCCTCCAGCCGAGGTTGTCGAGCTGCTGCTGCAGTACCGCGTTCAGTCCAGGCTAGGCAGAGCTGTCGCAGCTCTGTTGTGAATGAAAAGGTGGATGACGGCGTGTTCTAGACCTCAGCTGGCGCCGGCCTCCCTCCCAGCTCCTGTTTTGCAGAGGGGACATTAAGCTGTCCTAAGGGAATTTACGATAGGTGATGTCAGATGCACTAAAAGCTGCGTTGCTTCCTCTGCAAATGGACCTTTCCCAGTCCTGTGTTTGACAGCCTGGGGGCTGTGATGCTCTCGGTGTGCCCCTTGGTGCCAGCAGCGCAAGCAGGCAGGAATACCCAGGTTATCCATATACAAGATGATCAGCAAGAGGTGAAGCTTGAAGAGTAAAGCTCATCCAGTTCCAACCCCTTCCACGGGCAGGGACAACTTCCACTAGAGCAGCTTGCTCCAAGCCCCATCCAACCTTTAACAAAGTCTACTTGCACAAGTGAGGCAGCCAGCACTTGGCAGGAGGTGTTTGTATGGGAATCAAGTATTTGGCTGGTTTGATGAAGCTTGGAAAGATGAAGGGAAATAATTTGTGGATTCTACCACATACCTCTTAAATATAAGCCCGATGCTTTGTGCAGGCCAGGGAGCAGAGCTCTTCCAAAAACGCCTGTATTTTGAGAGCTAGTTTTGCTCTGCAGAATGTTAGGAATGACATTAGTGAAAGCATATCCCTGAAAATCGTCTCATTTTAAGTGGAAGGACTTAAAGGGGGTTGCTGAAGGGCTGTAGATGGGCAGTGGGGCCTGTGGGTGTGAGAGGGAAGCAGGTGCTACTGAAAGCAGTTAACAGGGAAGGGTTTATGTGTGCATAATATAAGGTCCATCATCCTATGTGCCTTCAGTATCCTTGCTTGGCTGGGCCCTCTTGTGAGTTGTTTGGGTTTTGCAATTCTCTGTATACTCTCCAACCTGATGTTCAGCATTTGCTTATTGTCAGCAGTTTCCTTTTTGCTTTAAAATCTTACTTTTTCCAGCCTCCCTGTGCCCCTGTAGAGGCGCATGGCCTTTGTATGTGTTTGATGCCATTACTGTATTAGAATAAAGACATTTGTAGCAAAGGGCCAAGTCCTCTGCATGTATTTATTTATTTAACCCCATGTGACTAAAAATTTAGGAAGTTTATGTCACTGTCAGAGCAGTTTGGACAAACTGGGAAGGAAGGGGAAGGAAAGAAAGAAATAAGGAAGGGATGCATAAAGGAGAGAGAATTTCTTATGAGAAAGAAGTGAGTGATTATCCCATATGGCACAAAGCAACTTCATGGATATGAGCTAACCACTCTCAGAATGAGCTTTTGTGATCTTATTAAGTTAATGGAGCCGCTCTTTGGAGAATAACTGTCCTTGTGCTGCTATGTACTGTACCTGAAGTTAGGGATGTGATTTATGTTTGTCCTCTGTTTGTGCCTTTCTTCAGAAACATGTATACAATCTGTCCCTGAACCTTGCTAACTCTTAGTCCCACAGTTTAATCTACCATCTGCAATTACAGTGTAATTACTGGGGGAAGGGGAGAGGAAATTTTGACAGGAACGGCAAAGATAACTGCTTATATTTAGTTCAGGAAACGTCAAACAAACTTCTCAGCCAAGGCCTGAGTCCGTGAATGCTTCCTTAAACCTTTGTGTCTGGATCTCTGGAAGCAGGAGCTGGCACAAGGAAAGGTTGTTGTGGGTGCTGTTACAACATCAGTGTCCTTCTAGCATGTCAGAGGTGTTCAGGAAAGGACAGTGTGGCGTGGCAAGACCCTACACCACTCCTGCATTTAAAACATGAAGTCATGGGTTATTTAGTTCCTTTTCTGTCATTAGTTTAATGACCGTGGCCAAGAGCAGGGGGAGCAGTGTGGTTACCGGTGTGCTTAAAAGGATGGAGGATGCAAGTGAGCTTCTCACTGGGTGATGTTTTGGATACATGGGCGATGTACCAGTGTGAAGAGCAGGCTCTTTAAGCCTGCACTTAAAGAGCATGAGTAGGCTCAGAAGTGTTTTCTTTGTGCTGCTTATTTTCCGCCTTGGGTTTTGCTTAAGGAAACCAAGTTAATGGAGCTCTAAGGGTGCATTATGTTCTGGTCTGCCTTGAGGAGAGGGAACGGCAAGGCACCCCTCCCCTACGTGCCCTGGATTTGGGCTGGTGCCTGTTTCCTCCTGTATCCTCGTTGGTGTCTATGTGCCAGAGCCCTTCTGCTGAGAACAAGAGCAGGAATGGCTGCTTATAGTGCCCCACGGGGCCTGGGAAGAAACTTGGTCTTTCCAGTCTGTATTTGCATGCTCTGGAAATCATGACAGGGCTGTTCTGCTTCTGAGGTTGGGGCCTGTGGGGCTGTGCTGAGCGGAGGGACTTGTAGGAATTAACGAACACAGCTGTATTACAGTCTTTAATGTTAACATTCATGTCATAGAATCATAGAAATATAGAGTAGTTAGGGTCAGAAAGGACCTTAAGATCATTCAGCTCCAACCCCCCTGCCATGGGCAGGGACACCTCACACTGAACCATATCACCCAAGACCTTGTCCAACCTGGTCTTGAACACTGCCAGGGATGGAGCATTCACAACCTCCCTGGGCAACCTATTCAGGGATTATTGTGCTTTTAACACAGGGAGAGCTTTTAAAATAAGAGAGTTTTTTAGTCCTACCTAGACTTTAGGGTTTTATTCCTAAGAGACAAGTCACTTAATCGAATGCTTGTGTTGTACAGCAAGTGAGAATGGCAGGGGCTTGGAACTAGATGATCTTAAGGTCCTTTTAAAGCCAAACCATTCTATGAACTGCAAAGTAGTTATTAGTGATTTATTTGTTTTACTAATTTCATCTGCAGTTCAGTTCCTCTGGCAGTTACTGTTGTGCTCTATAAGAGCTATCGGAACTTTGCAGTATTACTGGCTATGTGGTCATCTGAGCAATAAAGTGAAATTGGGTTTGTAGGAAGAAGTAATCTGTGGGAGGTGGGAGGGGATGAATCATAGAATCCCAGACTGGTTTGGGTTGGAAGGGACCTTAAAGCTCATCCAGCCCCAACCCCTGCCACGGGCAGGGACACCTTCCACTAGAGCAGCTTGCTCCAAGCCCTGTGTCCAACCTGGCCTTGAACACTGCCAGGGATGGGGCAGCCACAGCATCTCTGGGCAAGCTGCAATGATGCACTCCTTAGAGCTCAGGTTAGATCCAGTCAAAGTTCATCTTTTAAGGAGACTCCATTAAAGCTTCATGGGCACTTCTGATACTCATCAGCTTATTTTTAATAACCTTTTTGCAGTGCCTCCAAGCCTGATAACTGCAGAGAAGCTGATAACCTCGTGTCTGGGGATGTACCTTTGCCTGCGGCCCCTGGTGATGGTGTAGAGCTGCCTGCTGAGGAAACCAAAGGTTTCACCAGGGAAATAAAGAGGTATTGTGCAGTGTTATTTCATACATTACAATACACTTCCATGTCTGTGTATCCTTGTCTAAAGAAAACATAACCAGTGTGGGAGAGGCTGAATAACAGTTGTTTTGTCTAGGTTATATGAACACTTTGTTGCTATGATTTGAAACCAAATGGTAGGCTATCAATATCTGTGTGCCAGTATATTTACTGCAAAAGGCCAGAAGAGGGAGCTTGGACTACACTGGTTATTACTATGTTGATCTTTCCTATATTTAATATTTCTTTAGGTGTTTTTTTCTGACTATTTTCCTCTCCTAAAGTTCAAATTTTGGGAGGTTTTTTGTTGCTTGGTTTGGTTTGGCTTTGTTTTGTGTGTGCGTCATGGGTTTTGTTGTTGTTCTGGTGAAATTTTGCTAGTGGAGGTCATATTCAAGAGGACTGTTGGACTCATTCCCCTCCAGATGCTGCCAGCACCTTTCCCACCCCACACTACCTATTTGCATTGTAGCTATCAGTACTGAAGGAAGAAGTTCAGCTGAGTTTTGCTCTTGCTGAAGAAATGTTGAGTATCTTAATTTCAAAGTTAAATGTTTCCTTCAGATACGCATTGATCGGTGCTATAGTGTTTGATAGATGGCCTAGGGCACTTTGGCTTAGAAAACCCCCAAACTGAGTCCTCCCATCTCGGATACAGTCAAGACAAGACATGTGCTTGGATATTCATGTCAGAGCTTCACATGATGCCTGTCTCGTGTGTGATTAACCAGTCTCCTGTTGTGGCTTGGCAATAAAGGCATGCCCTTACTGTGACTCCTATTAATGGAAAAGGTCACAGCACAGCTGAGAATATCAAAGGGGCACTCCTTGGAGAATTGTGTTCTCCACCCCACAGATACAGAATGGCAGCTGGTGACAAACACATTCAAGGCAGGAGACTCCATGGGAAATAGAGTTACTGCACTGAAGCTCTGTTCGGAAATGCCACTGTGAGCAGGAGGATGCTCTGAATCGTGGATGAAAACATACACAATAGACATGTTCTGCTGTGGAACAGTGAATTAAGTGGCTGCCCCATCCCTGGCAGTGTTCAAGGGCAGGTTGGACACAGGGCTTGGAGCAAGCTGCTCTAGTGGAAGGTGTCCTTGCCATTGGCTTGGGGTTGGAACTGGATGAGCTTTAAGGTCCCTTCCAACCCAAACCAGTCTGGGATTCTATGAAAAATTAATCCATAGTATAATATCTATAACATATTGGTTAATTATAACCAATTTAATGAACTTAATTGGTTAATTATAGCATGTTGGTTAGTTATTTGTTCTAAAGTTCTGATTATTCTGATCAGAAAATGGTGTCCTCCCTATTAGTAGTGTATGTGCTTGTTGTAACACACTTGTGCCAAGTCTTCTGTGTAATGTTCCTCCATGGAACTGTACTGGACCCATACATTTTAACCTGTGCGTCGTTGGCGAGTAGCTGAAGTGCTCGAAGGTCTGTTTTGCACCACTGTGCAAGTTCGGTAATCCTCGGAGGTTTTTCTAAATGAAGATGAAATGCCACGGCCATTCTCTAAAAATGGAAAGAAATGGTCACAGGAGGTTGTAAATCAGAAAATACCCCAAGATGTTGGCTCTTTCCAGAGCATCATCCAAAATTGCTTGACGTTTATGGATACACTGCTCTGCATTTCACATTCTGTGTGTGCGTTAGCGTAGTCCCTGATGCCTGTTGTTTACAAATCCAAATAGAAACCACCAAAACACATGGTGATTTCTTTCCCCCTTTCACTGCAATTCAGCGTCAAAGAGAAGAGAAATAAGTTTAGAACTGAGCTGCTGGGCTCAGGCATTTAGATTAGCTTGTGCCTCTGTTTGGTTTTGATAATGATGTAGTGTGTTTAATAGCATGTCTCTGTGTGTGCATAAGAATCTCCCGGATGGGGTAAAGAATGATGCAATTAAGTGATGTTAGTAGAATTACTTAATGCAGAATCAAAATCCAGCCTCAGTAACTAAAATGTACGCTATCAACCGTCCCTGTGCCTTGAGAGCAGCAGTCTTGTCACCCACAGCCTTCTTTAAACCTGAACTTGGGTGCTTGATCTATTTGTTACATGAAAACAGACTTTGCCAGACCTTAATGGAAAGTAAGATGCATGCAGAGGTGAGAATTGGAGAGATCTGTGGGATAAAGCATAGTTCTTGCATCCTCTTGAAAAGCAAATATATTCCTGTCCAAACAGCTCTCTGCTGTTATAATCAGGCCCTTTTGTAAATACTACTTGGACTATCTCACGTTTTTATGGGATTTATGTGTATTAAGGCAAATCAGCCATGGGAAATAATAGCATGCAAATTGGGTGATGTTTCACTTGGTCACATTTATGGCAAGTGCCTGGACATCAGGGTTCTAAACTTCTGCAGATGCTGTGCCACTGCTCAGTGTTCTGCTGGATGGACCCTTGAGGCGTTTCCTCAGCCTCCTCTGTGATTATGATGGGCATGTTATGGACTGTGTCACAGATACTTCATAATGTGGGAGAAGTGCTGAAATATTGCTAGGGAGTGTAACTTATCCTTTATGGAAACTCTGCAGATAGAGATGGAAAGCCTCTGATCCATCCCTTTTAGTTGGGCTGTGAGGGAGAGAGAAGGGTGTAATCTGTTCTGCAGAGCAAAAAGCAAATGCTGTGTTTGTGCATGTCATAGAATCCCAGCCTGGTTTGTGTTGGAAGGGACCTTAAAGCTCATCCAGCTCCAACCCCTGCCACGGGCAGGGACACCTTCCACTAGAGCAGCTTGCTCCAAGCCCCTGTGTCCAACCTGGCCTTGAACACTGCCAGGGATGGGGCAGCCACAGCTTCTCTGGGCACCCTGTGCCAGCGCCTCAGCACCCTCACCAGTGTTCTCACCTATAGCCTCACTACCTGCCTTGAATGCTACCCATGTGATGCTACATGTGGCTGATGGGATTGGAGGGCTGGCTCCTCCTTGTTGTGGGATATGGGAGCAGTTTTCTTTCAAAAGCTAAACCACATTGGAGTCAGATCATTTTGAGAGAGTGCATGGATGGATGGAGGACTTCTGCTGATCTCTGAATCTCTGAAATTAAATTATAGAACCATAGAGTGGTTTGGGTTGGAAGAAGCCATCTCTGCCTTATTTAACTTTCCTGAAATAAGCCTGGAACCAGTTGGTGCCCAGCAACAGATCTTGCTATCCAAAAGCAGAAAGTCCCAACAGTCTTCAGGGAAAGCTGTGCTTTCTGCACCGTTGGCTGTTTTCATAATACTTCCCAGGGAGGAAGCTGAATGTTTGGTGTTGCATGGAAAAACAGGATAGGCTTTATGACTTCTGGGTTTTATCTGTGTGATCACGTGTTGAAAAGGAGTGTTCTCCTTTTGCCCACCTTTGGGGAGGTTTGGTGTAAAACAAAGTAAATCACAACCTATGGATTGCCTTCATTTGTGACCAGTACTGATAATCCTGAACTGAGTTGCTTTGAGTGATGTAATCAAACCCAGGAAGGGGTTACACAGGATTCAAAAACACAAGGCTTTTTTCCTTGAGTTAATTTAACCCTTTTGAAAGGGATGTGTTGTTATGGTAAGTTTACAAGCGCATTGAGCAAGGAATAGATGGGAAATACAAATGAGGGATACAGAGTCCCTTTTTGGGGGGGTTGGGTTGAGGTCTTGGGGTTTTTTACATGCATATAGTGAAGAGGATGGCGGCATACCTCTAATGTGTGTCTGGGCTCTAGTGCACATGTGAAGTGATGTTATTTTGTAATAGCAACAGAATGAAAGCATTGAAATGAAGTCACTTAGGTCTTGGAAACTAAATCCCGGGAGTTTCTCACGAGGCTTTGTGGCTGATAGCCCAAAAAGCATTCACTGTCTTATGCAACACAACATAAAAATAGATACCTTCCGTGTAATCAGCCCATCTGTAACAAATGGACAGGAATGAGCCACAGTCCTGCTCTTCATTCATTCCCTCTATTCCAGGGTTTCAAAAGAGATTCTTCCCTGGGAGGGTGCTGAGGCGCTGGCACAGGGTGCCCAGAGAAGCTGTGGCTGCCCCATCCCTGGCAGTGTTCAAGGCCAGGTTGGACACAGGGGCTTGGAGCAAGCTGCTCTAGTGGAAGGGGTCCCTGCCTGTGGCAGGGGTTGGAACTGGATGAGCTTTAAGGTCCCTTCCCACCCAAAACCAGTCTGGGATTGTGCCTCCTGAGGGACGTGTTCAGAACTGCTCAGCTCCAAGCAGGAGGATGCTTTGTGTTGCTCAGTATAGATTTTTTTTCAGCCTATTACTAAGTAATAGCACCAAATCCTGTGATGTCTGCTGTGTTTCAAGCCAAAATGCTGTGAACTAAGTGCATTTGCTTGTAGCTGCTTGTGGGACTGGTACAGTGAGGTTCCCAGTTGGGGACCAGGTCCTTCAGGCTTCTCCATGTGAACTCAAGGCTGGGGGGAGCCAGTCCTGTGTATGGTGGGCAGGGTGCCTGGAGACCCCCATGTTGTGTGCTGGCAGAGGACAGCTTCCATAAACCAGCAGCAATTCAACAAATTATAGCTTCCAGTAACTAAAAGGCAAAGCATAAACGGATGCTTGATGGAAGTGGGAAATGTCTCTGGGTTTCTAACCATGGCTTTGTTCAGGACTGGGGCTCTCTGGGGTGTGTTCTGCCTGCGTGTTCCTGCTCAAAGAGAGCAATTATTTGTGTGTGTTGTAAAGCTTCTCTGTATGTGGCAGTGGACAAAAGGGTGATGGTAGCCCTGTGTTTGCTTGTTATTACTGTGTATTTTACAGGTTCCCTCAGGCGATTTATGGTAATTTCCTTGCTGCTAGAACAGGTTCAGCAGCATGAAAATGAGGATGTCGTTACGCTAATTAATCCATCCACAAGGAATTTGAGAATGGTATTAATCATCTCGCATCTATCCTACAAAACTGTAGCAGTACAGACCCAGGATGGAGATTCAGGATGCAGCCTGGAGAAGAGAAGGCTCCTGAAGGGGA